TAATGCTCTCCCCTCCTCCCATCCCATCAATCATCACCAGATCTTCAATAAAAGTAAGTGTCATGTAATTGTGCATGCCTTTTTCAGTTTGTGTGTATTAAAATTAACATTTCATGTGGTAAAAAAAAATTTTTTTCATACTTTTGGGCGTCTTGCACGGATTAATTTTATTTCCATTATTTCTTATGGGGAAAATTCATTCGCATAACGATTATTTCGCATAACAATTATCCCTCTTGCACGGATTAAAATCGTTAACCGGGGGTCCACTGTACAGTGGACCCTCAGTTAATGATATTAATCCATTCCAGAGACCTTGTCATTAACCAATTTTATCGTCATCCGATTTAATTTTCCCCATAAGAAATAATGGAAATCCAATTAATCCGTTCCTGCTGTCAAGAGGCATGACAAAATAGTACGTCAATATGACGCTATTATAAACTCTATGGCTTATTTATCTATCACAATTCATCTAATATGACATAATAAACAATATTAACCCTTAAACTGTCCCAACAGATCGACGTTCAAATCCGTAGTGCTCCAAAAGTAGATCTACGTTTTTTTACATATTTTCAAATAAAAAAACAATGTAGATAAAAGTTTTTTTTACACGTTTTAAAATGTAAAAAAAAAAAATAAAGATCTACATTTTTTTACATTCTTTAAAATGTTAAAAAAACGTAGGTCTACATTTGGACAGTTTAAGGGTTAATAACATAGAAACAAGATATACAGGTCTCCCTCAACATTCACGAGGGTTAGGGGATCAAGAGCCTCGCGAATGTTTGGTGCCCCAATATATTGTAGGGAAATATAATACAATACTGCTTCCTTAACTTGTCGAACCATGAACAATCATAAAATACATGAAAACGTCGTAAACTGTACTAAATACATACGTTATGGCTTAATAACATGTATGTTATTAAATACCACTGTGAGTCCCTACTACCCCCCACAACTGGCAGCCAGCCCTCTCACCACTATGTGGTGAGTGTTTTGTTGGTTCATTATTTGCTATTAAACTACAGTATAAATAATGTCAACCCATTTATGACTGCATATTAGAATGGCTATTCGGACAGGTATTGGAAGGTGACATCATGTGTTTACTCTTGAACACAGCAAAGAATCAAACATTTGTGCTACTGCTAATAATAATAATAATAATAAATACGATAGAATTGAAGAAGGAAATTGTACAAAAATACGAGTTTTGAAGCAGTGGTGGAGGAAGTGGTTGACACATCGTCAGTGTGGCTTTGTTTATGCTGGAGCGAGTATTAGTCTCTGTGCTCTTCCAAACATTTCACAATAATTCATTGTATTTGGTGCTTGTAGATTGAGTGTGACTGGAGTGGTAGAGGCAGTTATAGAGGCAGTGGGTGAGGCAGTGGTAGAGGCAGTGGTATTTACTAACATATATGTTATAAATAATAATAGTACATTTTTTTTTTTTTTTTTTTTTCAACAAGTCGGTCGTCTCCCATTTGTAATCTTTACAGGAAAAGGGGTTACTAGCCCATTGTTCCCGGCATTTTAGTTGACTTTTACAACGCGCATGGCTTACGGAGGAAAGATTCTTATTCCACTTCCCCATGGATATAAAAGGAAAAGTAATAAGACCAAGAACTATTAAGATAAAATCAAAGAAAACTCAGATGAGTGTGTATAAATAAACGTGTACATGTATGTGTAGTGTGACCTAAGTGTAAGTAGAAGTAGCAAGACGTACTTGTAATCTTGCATATTTATGAGACAGACAAAAGACACCAGCAATCCTACCATCATGTAAAACAATTACAGGCTTTCATTTTACACTCACTTGGCAGGACGGTAGTACCTCCCTGGGTGGCTGCTGTCTACCAACCTACTACCTACTAATGGGAAGTACAATGCCTGCACTTTAAAGGAGTGGTTTGGGATATTGGCAGTTTGGAGGGATATGTTGTGTATCTTTATACGTATATGCTTCTAAACTGTTGTATTCTGGGCACCTCTGCAAAAGCAGTGAAAATGTGTGAGTGTGGTGAAAGTGTTGAATGATGATGAAAGTATTTTCTTTTTGGGGATTTTCTTTCTTTTTTTGGGTCACCCTGCCTCGGTGGGAGACGACCGACTTGTTGAAAAAAAAAAAAAAATAATAATAAATGTTATTCATAATGTACTATTATTATTTATAACATATATGTTAGTAAATATCACTGTCTCAATCACTGCCTCACCCACTGCATCTATAACTGCCTCAACCACTCCAGTCACACTCAATCTACAAGCACCAAATACAATGAATTATTGTGAAATGTTTGGAAGAGCACGGAGACTAATACTCACTCCAGCATAAACAAAGCCACACTGACGATGTGTCAACCACTTCCTCCACCACTGCTTCAACCCTCGTATTTTTGTACAATTTCCTTCTTCAATTCTATCATATTTATTATTATTATATTAATATTATTATTAGCAGTAGCAGAAATGTTTGATTCTTTGCTGTGTTCAAGAGTAAACACATGTCACCTTCCAATACCTGTCTGAATAGCCATTCTAATATGCAGTCATGGATGGGTTTACATTATTTATACAGTAGTTTAATAGCAAATAATAAACAAACAAAACACTCACCACACAGTGGTGGGAGGGCTGGCTGCCAGTTGCAGGGGTCGGAGGGAGGGTAGTAAGGACTCGTGGCGGTACACTTATATATCATTTGGCGGTTGGGAATTCGCGAATGTGTGAAGCACGCGAATGTTGAGGGAGACCTGTATATACTCTAGAATGAATAAAATATGTCATAATGTATGTGAGGAGTAAGTGTTGTTGTTGTTGCAAGGTTTATAAGGGCCACTCAGAGAAGCCGTACACAGTGGTGGTGGCGAGGCAGCAGCAGAACCCACCACCCCTATACACACAATGTATGTAATTTATAAATAAATATTTACATTTAATTATAAATAAGTAAGTTTACTCAGGTATACACAAATACAATTACATACATAGATTATCATACATAGCAGCATATGTGTAAAGTACCTAGGATAACCCAAAATAGTCAGAGTGACGTATTTCCATTGGCGTCCTTTTATATTTACTTTTATTGAGTGTAAAACGAAACCCTGTAATTGTTTTACATGATGGTAGGATTGCTGGTGTCCTTTTTTCTGTCTCATAAACATGCAAGATTTCAGGTACGTCTTGCTACTTCTACTTACACTTAGGTCACACTACACATGCATATATATACACACTCCTCTGGGTTTTCTGCTATTTTCTTTCTAGTTCTTGTTCTTGTTTATTTCCTCTTATCTCCATGGGGAAGTGGAACAGAATTCTTCTCCTTGGAGGAGATGTTAGTTTAATTACTTAGTTTGATGGAGGAGATGCTGGCAGAGGTTTAGGGTGGTGGAAGGTAGCAGGGCAGCGTATGTTCAGTGGCCCTATACACATCCAACAACATTGGAGAGTTACTTTCGTGTCATTTTTCTATCACTTACTTGCTACACTGTTAATTCTACACTTTATCGCTGGCTGGCACCATAGCCTTTATCAATACCTGCTGATTTAGTATTGTACATATCGTTGAATCACTGCAGAAGGCACATTCTCTTCCTCCTCCACTTTGGTACTTTGCCACAAGTTTTTTCTTGAATTCTATTGTGCTTCTTTCCCTCTTTACCACAGGGCTGGCACTAGAAGCTTTCTTGGGCCCATGGTGGCTTATTTAGCAGTTACAAGCACTAAAAACAATGGAATAATACAAAATATATTGCATGTACGCGTGGAAACGTCTTCACTGGCTTGTAAACAATGGCACACTACCTTGTACATGGGCTCAGGCCGTGCAGACATGTTCGGGACGAATGTCCTTAACTGAGTTTTTCATCGTTAGCGGAGCCAATATTTTGACGCAAAAACGCATCGGTATCCGATTTTATCACTATCTGATGGCAGCGTTAACTGAGGGTCCACTGTATACTCCCTCCTCTCCTTTTCGTTAGTGTGACTTAGTAAATGGTCCAAGTTGGACCGAAATGTCATCATAAGCTCCACTTTTCTATATGCGGGTTATCTGTGTATCGTTCCAGTCACGGTATTGTGCCTTTTTAGTTATCATTCTTGATAATGATTTGCACTCGCATGCATCCTAACCATTCACAGACTACCTCAAATAAAAATGATTCACACAGGTACTCATTACAGTACTGTGGTCCTTTGAGTTACAATGGGCTTGAGTTAAGATTTACCCTTTATAAAGGAATTTAGTTTTGAGTTGCAATGAAAAAGCTGAGGTATGATTGTTGGGTGGGTCTTAGCCTAAATAAAAGATTGATAAAAACATCTTAAATGGAGTGATGGAGAATGGGAGGGTGGAAGGGAGGGAGACGGTACCTGTTCCAGAAGTGTGTAGGGAGGAAGGGGGTTAGAAGACTGCTGCAAGAGTAAATTTTGAATCTTAAACTCTTTACCAATCTCTGCTTACCCAACCCTATCCTGTCCTGCCCTGTCTGCTCTAGCTTGTCCTGTCCTGCCATACCTGCTCTGGCCTGTTCTGTATTATATACACAAAAATAGAAAATGAGGTCATTTAGTACACCCACATAAATTCATAGTTAAAATACCCTTCATCAGTTAAAATCAAACCTGATATGTGCACTAGGGTAGAGTCTGCTAATAAACAGTAACATGAGAACTGTACTTTGGTATTGTCTTAAGAAGATAATGTTATTGATCTGCTTTGGCTCTCATTGTTGTCTACTGCTGCCACTTGAAACATTGCATACAAGATACCCATAACAAGAAAATCTTACACATGGATATCTGTACCATAACTGGTTTCACAAGTATATACCTCCCAGTAGAGGGGCAGGGCCAAGAGCTAGAACTCTACTTCTGCAAGTGCATGCATGCCCAGGCATGCATCATTGAACAATTCATACTAAACCTACTTCCTTAATGGTAAATTATGGGGTCAAGTGTATGCCAATGAGAAACCATTAATTTCTTTGTATATTTTATTCCTTTGGCCTAACATATATAGCCACATACATGTATGGCTTATAACACAAATTACAGCATTTAAGAAGATAGCAGTCCAGTTCATTCGGATATTTTTAAGTAAAGTTTTGTGACAGCCTTATCTACAAGATAATGAGGTAGCTTCAATGTGTAGCTGATAAAAGTTCTTAGGAGATAAAAAGCTACCCAACACTATAAAGGATATATTAACATAGCAACACCCTCTGAGCTGCCACTTCCTCCTGGTAATATGTCATTCAATCAACATATTCACAACAAAGCTTAGGTCACAAATTATCTATATTTTTCTATTCAATGTATACCAAAGTATCTATCTTAACAGGTTACACTCTGAGCTTGCATCCATTATCGTAATCATTTTCACACAAAGAAGGCCTCCAGTGATTGTCTAAGTGTGTGAAAGCTGATTGCATGGGTTATCTACAAAGAAGAGGAGTAAAGATTTTGAAACACGTTTTTTATGAGACATTGCCGATAGTAAGAGTCAACTCAACACAGTATCGTAAAATACTTAAAACAATTTGGTATTTAAGTAAAATAAAAATTGAACAATGAAAAAACAGTGATTATTTGCATAGTGTTTACGAAACTTGAAACATTAAGTTTGCCTCATACTACCGATAAAACTTGTGTGTGTGTACACAATACACACACACACAATGCATGTATGGACATGCATGCATGCACATACACAGTGATAGGAAACCTTAAGTACAGAGATAAAATAAATATTGATTATGGCACATAAATTAACTTATAATACAGACTGCACACTACATTTGCAGCTCATAACACCTAAGGCAACTGGGTTTTGGTACTACTGTCTCATGATAATAGCAAAGTATACCAAAACAATTAGAATTACATTCTTAGCTGTAATATGGAGGTTTCTTGTGTATTTAGTACTAAACAATTCAAACAAAATTCTTAAAAGACAATTTCTAATTGTAAACAATTGTACATAATAAAAAGATGAACATATAACTAGCCCTAAATTGTGGACATATCCTTGGTTGCAGTAATCAAAATGCTCATCTAAGACATTGGTGAAGGTCAGTTTTCATTCATGTGAAGTTGAGTGTGAAGGTTGCAGGTGTTGTCGTTAATGCTGGAAGGCTGGGTAACAACCCAGTAGAGGCTGCCATGATACTGGCTATGGGCTTTTCCTCCAAGGAACTGATGCCACCCTCCCCATTCTGGGATCAAACATGATAATCTCCCATTTTGCAGGCATTGACCCTCATAGGTTGAGCACATCTACAATAATAAAACAATATTTGTGTGTAACTACATTATTAACTAGGGAAGGCAGCCCTGATTCCTTGGATCATGAACCCTTCATGAGAATGAAGGTACTTGCCCTAGAATAGGTATGTAATTACTGGGTAACCCAATGTGAGGCAGTCAATACATATAAGACAGCACTCAACCTCAACACATTCAAGACTCACCATCCTGCTGATGGCAAGGCTGACTGACCTTCATCCTGCTGATGGCAAGGCTGACTAACCTTCATCCAGCTGATGGCAAGACTGATTGACCTTCATGCTGCTGATGGCAAGACTGCCTGACCTTCATGCTGCTGATGGCAAGTGATTGCTAGTTGTTCAAAACTAGCCATCCTATACACCCTTCTCTTCTAGCCTTGTGAACAAATGAAGCAGAAGTGAAAAATATAATGTCACTAGTAAAATTCATTACTATGTAATATCACTTCTGGGAGTGTCATGCCTATTCTCTCTAGGTACACATCTTCCCATCTAACTCAAGTCTTATTATATTTATCAAAATTACGGCTTCAATAATGCCACTTACAATCCACACACATACTATATAATGCTCAAAAGTCTTCATTTAACCCTTAAACCGTGTCTGACTTAAATGATGAATGAGTATGATGTATCCATTACCCCCAACTTTTTCCTGCCTTCAAATTTGCTGATTACTATGATTTTCTCTCTCAGTCATTTGTTTGGGTTGCCAGGCACCTCTCCAGGCTAACGAAAAAATCACTAGCTGTTGTGTTGGGTGAGCAATGGGCGGTGGAGGGCAACATGCCTCAGCAAGCTATTCTTACAGTGGCTGGCTGGGAAGTGTTGATTTGGTGACAGTGAAAACCAGTAATTTAAATTTTATATGAAGTGTAAACATGCCACACAGGTATCCCCAGTGGCCCAGATACCACTTTGTTAACACATGTGACACCTCTAGATACCCTGCCAACACTACATGTGAGACCACCAGCATCACTGACACCACCAGTTGCCTTACCAGTCAAGATGCATATTGTAAGTTGTGTGATGCACTACTGTACCGATCTCCATCTTCTCAAGAATATTCCACCTTATAATAATTGTAGTATAATAGTTCCCTGTACTAAGTGTTGAAACACTAAAACAATCATTAAAAATAAGACAACATATTTATTGGCAGAAATTTATAGTGAATACTGAAACTGTGGATATAATGAACGTGTTCTACCCGCTTCTAGTACCAAATCAACTTGAAAAATCAATTATTACTACTCATTATAAAATGTTGTATGTAGCCTCACACACTTCAAAACAAGCAAAAATTCTGAAAAAGTATAGATATTTACTTAAAAAGTAAAAAAACGAAAACTAAAAAGTAAAAAAGGAAATTACGATGATGTAGCTGTGGCATTTTCCATTAATTTTAACATTCAATAAATCAAAAAGTTTTAAACCAATTGTTTTTTGTCCTTTTCTACTCTGAAAAACTTTAAAATGGTAAGAAAAGAATTTTAAATTTTCCAAAATTCTGCCACAGTTTAAGGGTCAAGAAGATGCAATGTACAAATATTAATATAGTACATATTTTTTGGAATTGTAAAATACAGTAATTTCCTGGGGAGCATGTAAGGTGCGGTGACCACATACAATGATCGGACCAAGTGAAAGACAAGAAAATGACACTTCAAGTAGTTAAAGTTTCCTACTGGAAAAACTATCATCCATGCATTCTCAATGGCAATCTTAATTACACATTCATAAAATTCACTACTGCACCCTTATTTAATAATAATTAAAAAATGTTAATTCATCAAAAGGAACACAGAAACATGGAGCCTCATTTACTTTATCATCATCCTCTATGACTAGGGTCACATGCCCATTTCATTACTAATGTATATATGCGAGGCAATCCATGGGGGGATGGAAATCTTCAGCTCGAGTACTTTCACATGTCTCCGTGCGTCATCAGGAGCTATGCAATGTTGCAAGAGGGAAGTTTTCTCAGAGTACAGCAGTGCAATGACACCAGCTGTAGATGGTGTCACTGCACTGCACTACTCTGAGAAAACCTCCCCCTCATTTCTCTTGCAACATTGTGCATCATCAGGACCTATACAATGTTGCAAGAGTAGCAACAGGAGAAATGAGGGGAGGTTTTCTCAGAGTAGGGCAGTACAGTGACACCATCTACAGCTGATGTCATTGCACTGCCCTACTTGCAACACTGCATAGCTCCTGATGACACACGGAAATGTGTAAAAGTACTTGAGCTGAAAATCTGCCCAGACCCCCATAGCTTGTCTTGCACAGTTAAGATCGCCTGTTTGTGATTTGCATAATGTATATATGCATGTGTAATATATGTATATCTTTCATTTTTTCTTTTGGGCCACCCCACCTCAGTGGGATACGGCTGGTACGTTGAGAGAGAGACAGACAGAGTGTGTGAGAGTGAGTGTGTGTACTCACCTAGTTGAGGTTGCAGGGGTCAAGTCCAAGCTCCTGGCCCCATGTGTGTGTGTGTGTGTGTGTGTGTGTGTGTGTGTGTGTGTGTGTGAAAAAAACTACAAAATGATAGTTTAACTGATAATGCATTCCAGCCATGCTTCTTAAGTTAAAATATTACATGAAAGAAATAATACAAAATATAAGCCACTTGTGGTATTTGTCTTACAAAAGTGAGCAGATGGGTATGGATACAAAACACTGCTGGAGAGTGCACCATGCATACAAAAGGTGGGTATTACAATTATGGGAATGACGGGTCTGGTGCTGCCGAGATTCCTGGCTCCAAAGACGCCAGACTTCTGAAATTCAGGATTTGTCAATGGTATTATTCTTTAATAAAAAGTTATACATTCTATAAAGCCAGACTGTATGAAGCATCCATTTCCCAAATTGTCCACAGTTAAAAAAATATGACCCAAGGGCAGGGAAGGATCCTGGGAGAGGAAATTACAAGTTTGCCAAAAAAAATTCTGAAATTTTAAATGACAATGTAAATAACATGGCAGTGAAGAACCTCCACCACAATGACCCTTTCCTTGCCATGCCAATAATTTGCACCTGACACCTAACTTTTTGCTCTCAAAGTTACAAACTGGCAATCCATCCAGGCTGCCAGGTGGAAGCCAAGTATCACATTTAAAAGGCAAGCAGCAGTAACTGAACTACATATGTTAATTGCTTTGTACTTTCCATGTACTTATTAAATGAATGATTTATAATAAAAATTACAGTTTATGCTCCCTGACTCAGTCAATCAAACAGGAGGCTTGTCTAACAATTCCCCTGAGTGAAGGTAACAACTCCATAGAAACTAAATGAGGACATTAAACAGGTATAACAATATAAATTGCTTTAACAGTGACTGTGAAGCAGTTTTTATTTACAAGTACAAACTACAAATGAGGCGCTTCAGTCAGATGCTATTGGGGAGGGTGGAGGAGGGCACGGGGCACGAGTGCAGTAGGAACGTTCCGTGGATGGTGAGGGTGGACAAGAAGTAGGGGGACAGGACGTGAGGTCACACATATATTGCATTTGTGGGGTGGGAGGCGGTGGGTGTGGATCTGAATCATAATCTGTCATGGGTGGGGAGGAGTAATATGTGGTAGAACCTGGAGTGTAACAATGGGTTCTACGTGGGGACACTGCCGACGAGTAAATGTCTGAATCACAAACATCTGTAGAGCATGGGGTAGGAGGGGGTGGCCTGTTACGAGCCTTATAGTGGCGGTAGGAATGGAAATTTGAGGATGGGATGTGGTGTAAATTGCAGCAACAGTGGGTTTCCTGACACCGACCTCTATTCTCTGCTACAGGAGTGGGCGGAGGATTAAGTGTTTCTCTGGGATAGTGAGTCATAGAAGAGGAAGATGATGATGCCCCTGTTACTGGAGCAGGATCAAACATCCCTCTGGCCACTGCACCCCGATTAATTATGCCTCTACACATCCCAGGTACTGAGGGACCACCAACACCAATGGTCAAGTGGGGATCTCTCTGTGGAGGTTCACCTGGAACTGATGAGTAACTTTTACCCCAAGAAGTCATCACTATCTTATACTGTCTGGGTTGAGATGGCTTGGGATGAGGTTCTAGTTCATGATCATCCAAGAGAGATGGTCTCCGTTGATAATATACCACCAAGGCCACGACACACACTAGCACTACCACAGATACCACTACTCCCACAATATATGGAGCTTTACTGGCAGCTCCATTTACATCTGGAGGATCTGTCACCCAGGTGGAGCATAGGGCATGATCAGGGTTATCAGGACATGGGCGACGACCTCCAGTACAGTGCACAGCAGTATCCACACACTGTCCTGTTGACACGCACATAACTTGACCCTCACCACAGCACCCTACTTCATCACTTCCATCACTGCACTGTCTTTTACCATCACAAATCTGAGATTTTTCTGAAAAAAAAAAAAAAGAAGAAGAAAAAAGAAATCTATGTATGTCATGCTGTATAGGTAAAACTGGTCAATTAGTAAGAACTCTTTTAAAATTAAGTCCTTTCTTTTTTCCATTTATGTTAACGTAAAAATTAATAATTTTGTACCAAAAGAATCTTAGAAAACTTACCTAACCTTAAATAACAAAAAAAAGGCACAATACCCTGACTGGAACAATACACAAATAATCTGCACATAGAAGAGAGGAGCTTACGACGACGTTTCGGTCTGACTTGGACCATAAATGGACTTTGTAAATGGTCCAAGTCGGACCGAAATGTCGTCGTAAGCTCCTCTCTTGTGTGTGTGGCTTATTTGTGTATACTTACCTAACCTTATTATAACAAGCACAATTTAATTTAGCCTAATCCAACTAAATATATTTTAAATAAGTTTACAATAATTTAATAAACAAACAGTGAAATATATTTTTTTCATTAGGTTCAGAATGATTTTTGCAAAATTACTGCATACACAAATTTAAGCCAAAATTGCAAGTTTTACCTATATGGCACAACATGTGTATGTGTGTATGTGTGTGTGTGTGTGTGTGTGTGTGTGTGTGTGTGTGTGTGTGTGTGTGTGTGTGTGTGTGTGTGTACTCACCTAATTCACCTAATTGTGGTTGCAGGGGTCGAGACTCAGCTCCTGGCCCCGCCTCTTCACTGATCGCTACTGGATCCTCTCTCTCTCTGCTTCCTGAGCTTTGTCATACCTCTTCTTAAAACTATGTATGGTTCCTGCCTCCACTACTTCACTTGCTAGGCTATTCCACTTGCTGACAACTCTATGACTGAAGAAATACTTCCTAACGTCCCTGTGACTCGTCTGAGTCTTCAGGTTCCAGTTGTCCCTGTGTCCCCTCTCTGGAACATCCTATCTCTGTCCACCTTGTCTATTCCCCGCAGTATCTTGTATGTCGTTATCATGTCTCCCCTGACCCTTCTGTCCTCCAGTGTCGTCAGTCCGATTTCCCTTAACCTTTCCTCGTACGACATTCCCTTGAGCTCTGGGACTAGCCTTGTTGCAAACCTTTGTACTTTCTCTAACTTCTTGACGTGCTTGACCAGGTGTGGGTTCCAGACTGGTGCTGCATACTCCAGTATGGGCCTAACATACACAGTGTACAGTGTCTTGAACGATTCCTTATTAAGGTATCGGAACGCTATTCTCAGGTTTGCCAGGCGCCCGTATGCTGCAGCGGTTATTTGGTTGATGTGTGCCTCCGGTGATGTGCTCGGTGTTATGGTCACCCCAAGGTCTTTCTCCCTGAGTGAGGTCTGTAGTCTTTGTCCACCTAGCCTATACTCTGTCTGCGGTCTTCTTTGCCCCTCCCAATCTTCATGACTTTGCATTTGGCTGGATTGAATTCGAGAAGCCAGTTACTGGACCACAGTCCAGCCTCTCCAGGTCTCTTTGCAGTCCTGCCTCATCCTCGTCCGATTTAATTCTTCTCATCAACTTCACGTCATCTGCGAACAGGGACACTTCAGAGTCTATTCCTTCCATCATGTCGTTCACATATATCAAAAATAGCACTGGTCCTAGAACTGACCCCTGTGGGACCCCGCTCGTAACAGGCGCCCACTGTGATACCTCTTCACGTACCATGACTCGTTGCTGCCTCCCTGTCAGGTATTCCCTTATCCATTGCAGTGCCCTTCCTTTTACGTGTGCCTGATCCTCCAGCTTCTGCACTAATCTCTTGTGGGGAACTGTGTCAAAGGCCTTCCTGCAGTCTAGGAAAACGCAATCTACCCAACCCTCTCTCTCATGTCTTACTTCTGTTACCTTGTCATAAAACTCCAGGAGGTTTGTGATACAAGATTTGCCTTCCATGAACCCATGCTGGTTTTCATTTATAATCTTGTTCCTTTCCAGGTGTTCGACCACTCTCCTCCTGATAATCTTCTCCATGACTTTGCACACAATACATGTCAGAGACACAGGTCTGTAGTTTAGTGCCTCGTTTCTGTTTCCTTTCTTAAATATGGGGACTACATTAGCTGTCTTCCATTTCTCAGGTAGTTGCCCAGTTTCAAGGGATGTGTTAAGATTGTGGTTAGAGGCACACACAGCATCTCTGCTCCTTCTCTAAGGACCCATGGGGAGATGTTGTCCGGTCCCATCGCCTTTGAGGTGTCAAGGTCACTTAAGAGCTTCTTCACCTCCTCCTCAGTTGTTCGTATGTCATCCAACACTTGTTGGTATATTCCCTCTTGATGTTCCCTTCTGTTCTGTCTTCCCACAGCCCTTCCTGTCTCTACTGTAAAAACTTCCTTAAATCTCCTCACATACCTCCTGATCATTTCTTGTGAGTTCTCCACCTTCTGTCCTTAATCTGATCACCTGGTCTTTGACTGTTGTCTTCCTCCTGATGTGGCTATACAACAGTTTCGGGTCTGTCTTGATTCTCGATGCTATGTCATTTTCATACTGTCGCTGGGCCTCCCTCCTTACCTGTGCGTACTCATTCCTGGCTCTGCGACTGATCTCCCTATTTTCGTGTGTTCTCTGCCTTCTGTACTTTTTCCATTCTCTATTGCACTTTGTTTTTGCTTCCTTACACCGTCGGGTGAACCAGGGGCTTGTTCTGGTCTTCCCGTTGTTACTGTTGCCCGTGTGTGTGTGTGTGTGTGTGTGTGTGTGTGTGTGTGTGTGTGTGTGTGTGTGTGTGTGTATATATATATATATATAGTATATATATATATATATATATATATATATTTATTTATTTTCAACAAGTCGGCCGTCTCCCACCGAGGCAGGGTGACCCAAAAAAGAAAGAAAATCCCCAAAAAGAAAATACTTTCATCATCATTCAACACTTTCACCACACTCACACATTATCACTGTTTTTGCAGAGGTGCTCAGAATACAACAGTTTAGAAGCATATACGTATAAAGATACACAACATAAAGATGCACTGGTCACGTTGCCCAGCGGTGAGAGTAGCCACTCTCATTGCTGAGGTCCAGGTAACAAACCCTGGAGGTTAACATGTATATATATAAAATAAATAATAATAAATGCACACACAAAATAAATAAAAACAACAACCCCTCCACCCAACCTCACACAGAGGCCTCTCATAATGCATATTTACTTAAAATGTTTTCATTAGAATGTTAATTTTTTTTAATACACTGGCCATCTCCCACCAAGGTAGGGTGACCTGAAAAAGAAACACTTTCACCACCATTCACTCTATCACTGTCTTGCCAGAGGCATGAAGATACTACTGTTCAGATGCCCCTCCAAATTGCAAATATTCCCACCCCTCCTTCCCAGTGTAGGCACTGTACATCCCACCTCCAGGACTTAAGTCTGGCTAACTGGTTTCCCTTAATCCTTTCATAAAATGTTACCTTGCTCACACTCCAACAGCTTGCCAAGTCCCAAAAACCATTTGCCTCTACTCCCTCCCTCCAATACAGATTTAAAAAAGCTCCAAGTCATCCAATTTTGCTCCAACCTCTCTAAATGTCCAAACCACTTCACCAGCCCCTCCTCAACCCTCTGCATAATACTTCTAGTAACTCCACACTTCCTTCTCAACTCCAAGCTACAAGTTCTCTGCATAATATTTACATCACATATTACCCTCAGACATGACATCTCCACTGCCTCCACCCTTCTCACTGCAACATTCACAACCCAAGCTTCACACCCATGCCTCGGGAGACAGAGAGGATAGGCCATGGAACTTAAGGTATGATAAAATACTTGCTTGTATCTATTATGAGAAAATTATATAGTGGTGTTGAGTATAAGCTGATGGCAATATGACTACTGCTTAGTAGTCATAATATTTACATCTCCTGTGAGCGGCAGCATATCTGAAGCTCGCTCGTAACTCGAATTTTGGCTCACAACTCAAAGCAAAAAATCGAATGAGCGACGGCTCGTAACTTGGAAAACTCATAAGTTGGGGCACTCGTAAGTCAAGGTACCACTGTACTTCCTTGTATCTATTATAATTATAAGCAAGAAAATTGTATAGTGAAATGTTTGGTGGGTCAGCTGATCAAATGTATGTATGGTGTCAGATGATAAACAAAGCACACACACCTGTCTACTGCTCACTTGTCATACAACCTTTCCAAACATTTCTTTATCACCAAACAATAAAACAAGGAATTTAAGGTATGATAAATACAGTGGACCCCTGCCTTACAATATTAATCCATTCCTGAGAGCTCATCTTAAGCCAAAATTATCGTTAGCCGAATTAATTTTCCCCATAAGAAATAATGGAAATCAAATTAATCCATTCCTGGCACCCCAAAGTATGAAAAAAAAATTTTTTTTTTACCACATGAAATATTAATTTTAATACACACAAACTGAAGAAGACATGCACAATTACTACTCTACTAAGAATAGAATGCATGACACTTATCTTTATTGAAGATCTGGTGATGATTGATGGAATGGGAGGAGGGGAGAGTGTGGAAGTTATTGTTTAGAAGGGGAATCCCCTTCCATTAGGACTTGAGGTAGCAAGTCCTTCTCCGGGGTTACTTCCCTTCTTCTTTTAATGGCACTAGGACCAGCTTGAGAGTCACTGGACCTCTATCGCACAACAAATCTGTCCGTAGAGCTCTGTATCTCCCGTTCCTTCAAGACTTTCCTAAAATGGGCCATAACATTGTCATTGTACAGGTTGCCAACACGGCTTGCAGTAGCTGTGTTTCATCCGTAAAGGTTTGCAGTTCAACCCACTTTGCACACATTTCCTTAATCTCTTTTTTTCAATTCCATACTAATTCTCACTCTTTTTACCACAGGGATGGCACTAGAAGCTTTCTTGGAGTCCATGGTGACTTATTTTGCAGTTACAAGCACTAAAAACACTGTGATAATGTGAAATGTGCCGAATGTATGCATAGATGCGACCGCACTGACTGGCTTGTAAACACTGGCGCTGAGCCCACACGTGGGATGCGCCCCGGACGAA